TAATATGCATTGTAATCCCATTTTGGTCACCTTGATCAAAGTAAAATATGCAATCTTGAGTGTCAGGTCTATCCAAATGGGAATATAAATTTACACGCCAGATGAAATCTATCCATTAATATTAAAAAACCCAGATAGTGAAGCTACATGCCCAAATGTGGGCAAGCTGTTTGACCTCTTTAAAGGCCTTATAGCTAAAATATTACTCAAGAATCATGGAAGAAGAAATAACTGTCCTGTCAGCTAAGCAAGTAGATAGATTTTCAGTAGAGTCGAGTCGGGAGGTCATGCTTACATTAACAACTGCTGAGCCTGAGTGCCTTTCAAAGGCAGTTGCCTTTCTGAGCCTAGCTTTCTGTGACCTTGCCCTCCCGTTTCCAAGCTTGTGAGGAAATACAATATTTAAGTAGATTATTTTGTCTGAAATGCATTCCTCCCACATGCTGCGCCTCTGGTTGATGCTTTTTATGTTTCTTGATGCAAGCAACAGGTCAAACATAGTTTGGCATCGTTTGGAGTTTCTGTTACTGAAGTGCAACACACTGTTGACATCATTAATGAATCTCCAGAAATGTTTCAAAAGAAGTTTTCTTTGTTTCTGCATATTACCTGCACTGATTTGAAATTATCATTGCTTCCATTATAGGAAAAATAGAGTAAAATGCCAGTGGCAGTAGACTGTACCAGCAGAGACGTGCACAGAGAAGTTCTGCAAATGCAGAGCTATTGGAGTGTGGTCTAAACTGTTGTGAATCTGGTTTCTAGTAGTCCTGTCCTCCCTCCTTTTTCTCAGCCATACTTTCCCACCCTTTCCTTTTGGTTGAGCCTGGAGCTTATCTGATGCACAATAAGCTGGTTTGGGAATCCAGCTAAAAATGAATCCTACCCAAAAAATGGTTGTTTGCATCCAATTCTACTTGTCCACAATCCAGTGAAAGAGGCTGCTTTTGTATTGTTTTGTTGTTGTTAATACTACTACTACTTTCTGGCCCTAACACTGGCATTATTCTTCAGTGAAACAGCTATTATGGAAAGTGTTCTTGTCACCTGGTCAAAAGAAAAGGGAATGAATTTCCCAAGATGTTGTGAAGGTTCTCAGTGTGCATTCTGGGCCGTTACTGAAGGAATTTGAAGCATGTGAGTTTAACTGCATGGCTCCTGTGAAGCGTGATTAATGTTATCTGAGAGGTCTTTGTAAATTCATCAATACTGTGGAATCTCTGTTTGTGTAGGGTGTGTTGTGGTTTTTTTCTGAGAGTTTACGGACTGGGAGGAGTGTGCATACACCATGAAGGGTCAGATCTACCCTCCACAATTAAGGTCCCTAATTTTCAGGCTACTTTTAATGCAACACATATGTTGATAAGCAGGTCTTGGAAATTCTTGAAGTTTATAGGAGATAACTTCTTGTCGCAGGTACTCATTAGAAGAGATGCTCTCCTAGTCTTACTGTTTGTGAATAGGGAAGGACTTGTGTGGGATGTGATGGTAGGTGGCTGCCCTGGCCACAGTCATCAGAAAATTGAGTATAATGAGAAAAAAGTACAGCAAAGTTGCCACCTTGGACATCAGGAGAGCAAATGCTAAGGTACTCAGGAAGCTATCTAGCAGAGTACCTGTGGAATCTGCTTTTGAGGGCTTAGGAGTCCGTGAGTTCTAGTCAGTCTTTAAGAACTACATTTTAGAAACACAGGAGCAGGCAATTCCACTGTGTCAGTAAGCAGGGCAGAAGACCAGCTGGGGTGAGCAGGGAACTCCTCATGGAGCTCACAAGGTAAAGTTGCTGTATGATCTCTGGAAGCAAGGGTTGTATTCTCAAGAAGGATACAGAGCTGTGGTTTGTTTATGCAGGGGGAAGACACGAAAGGCCAGAGCTCAGTCAGAGTTGAAACTGGCCAGTGTTGTTTCAGATAACAAGAAGGGCTTTTAAAAATACATTAATAGCAAGAGGAGGTCTGAAGAAGTCATACTTGTTGAACATGGTCTTCTGACTAACAGGGAGGAAGAAAAAGCAGAGGTGTTCATTGTGGTTTTTGTCTCAGCCTTGAGTAATACTGATAGATGTTAGGCTCTCCAGTCCCCTGAGTTGGAGCACTACAAGTGCAGGAACAGTGACTTTTCATTTGTGGACACTGGAATGGTTAGGGACTAGCTATATGAGCTGAATGTTCACAAGTACATGGGGCCTGATGGGATCCATCCCAGAGTTCTGAAGGAGCTAATGGATGTTATGGCAGGAGCCTTCTCCGTCACCTGCCAAAGAGCCCGGGAGTCTGGGCTGGTCCCTGCTGACTGGAAGCTAGCCAGTGTTATTCAAAGTTACAAAAAGGGCATGTGTGTGTGGGGTTTCACAGAGGGAAAGTCTTATTTGATTTGATATCCCTCTATGATAAGGTCACGTGGCTAGTGGATAAATGGAAGGCAATGAATGTAGTTTTTCTGGATTTTAGTAGGGCTTTTTGATACTGTCCCTCACAGCATCCTTCTGGACAAGTTGTCCAACTGTGGAATGAGTGGGTGCACTGGGTGAGGCAGAGCTCAAAGGGTTGTAGGGGCTACATCTAGGTGGTGACCAGTCACCAGCAGTGTTCCTCAAGGTTCAGTTTTAGGGCCGGTCCTGTTCAAGATGTTTATCAATGACCTGCATGCAGGAATTGAACGCACCATTAGTAAGTTTGTTGACGATACCAAACAGGGAGGTGCTGTTGACTCTCTTGAGGGGCAAGATGCCTAGCAGAGGGACCTAGATAGATGGGAGAATTGGGCAATGATTAATGGGATGCTATTTGAGAAGTTGAAATGCTAAACTCTGCACCTAGGATGGAGTAATGCCAGGCACAAATACAAGCTGGGAGAGGACTGGCTGGAGAACAGCCCTGCAGAAAGGAATCTGGGGGTGCTGGTCAGCAATAGACTCAGTAGGAGTCAGTGGTGTGCCCTGGTAGCCAAGAGGGCAAAGCACACCCTGGTGTGCATCAAACACAGCAGAACCAGCTGGTGAGAAGAGGTGATTGTCCCGGTGTACTCAGCATTGGTGTGCCCTCACCTCAAGTGCTGTGTGCAGAGCTGGGCCCCACAGTTTAAGAAGAATGTATGTGAAGGTCCTCAACTGTGTCCAGAGGAGGGCAACAAAGCTCGTGAAAGAGCTGGAATGTCCTGTGAGGAGCTGAGGACTTTGGGCTTACCCAGTCTGGAGAAAAGGAGGCTGAGGGGCCACCTCATTGCTCCCTACAGCTTCCCGAGGAGAAGTGGAGAGAGAGGCGCTGATCTCTTCTGCCTGGGATCCAGTGACAGGACACCTGGGAATGGTTCAAGGCTGCGTCCATCAGGGAGTGTTCAGACGGGACATTAGGAAGCATTTCTTTACCGAGAGGGTGGCCAAACAGTGGAACAGGCTTCCTGGAGAGGTGGCGGTACTCCAAGCTGTCAGTATTTAAGAGGCATGTGGACAATGCCCTTAATAACATGCTTTAACTTTTGATCAGCTCTGATTTGATCAGACAGTTGGACTAAATGATCACTGTAGGTCCCTTACAACTGAAATAGCCTATTCTGTTCCAACACATTGGGCATTTATTTCATGATCTGGAAGCCCAAAAAATCTGAAAAGCATTTGTTGCATTAAACATGCAAGTAATACAAGGCACACACTGAAAGCCTGGAGGGCACGTGTCTGCCCAACTCTCCCAGGATCTTGGCTGATCCCTTTTCTTCAGACCATGCTTCTTGACCGATTCCTCTTTCTTTTCTCATCCTCCTTCCTGCTGTTTTCTCCTATTAATGAGCTCTTCCACCTGCCTCGCTCCCAAAACACTTCAGCATTTGACCATCTGTCACTGCTGTTGTGCATCCTTGCTGTTGTAAGAGAAAGTGTTGACCTTGAACCAAGTATGTGATAAACAGCTTACACCCTGGCAAACGAACTGGTATTACAATTAATTTGCTGTATATGTTGCATGTGAAACAGCAAGAAACGTGCAGGCTGCTAGGTCTAAATGCTCAGTCTGTAATCACAGTTCTGAGAAATTGATGGGTCCAGTAAATCTGCAGAGGGTTGCAACATAACACATGGATCTGTGCATGTTCAGTGGGCAGTGAGATTCATGCCCTGCCCTAACAATGCATTTGATTTAGGAGCTGACCTCTGCTATTCACTGCGCTTTATATGAAGCTTTTGCAGATCACTTTGCAAGTAAAGATTTGTGAAATGGCTGTGTGAGTACAGTGAGACTAAATGTATTTTCCAAGAAAGATTATTTTTGGTTTGCTTAAGACAAAGTTCAGTCGAATCAGCAGAAAGCCTTTTTGACTTCCTTTCTCTGTGTAATTATAAGCTGAAATTCTAAATCAGCTGCTTAGTCATGGTAAATTATGAAAATTATGCTGTTCATTGGCAAGCTGTTGTTATAATAAACATATTTATTGCTTGGGTTTTTTTTTCTTAGAGGATGTTTCCCTTCAAACAAAAAGCTGAAGAGTAACTTAAACTGCAGGAACCCATGTTTTTCAAAATATCTGTCATAGATAAGTAAATATGACAGGTGGTAAGAGTTTTTTGACAAGTTGATTTTATCCAAGTCATTTGCAGTGTTTTGTGAACTAAAACCGAAACTGAATCCAGTCTGTTACAGCTACAAAGCAAAATGTCACAGTTTGTCAGGGGAAGGGGTCTTAATGTTGTCAGATTGGACCTCCAAGTGTAGGTGATCTTTGTGTCAGAACTTGTCCTCAGAGTCCATGCCCTGTAACAGAAAAGATGCATTGAACCACCAAGTGCTGACTGCATAAATCCAGCAGGACGAAGAACAGTGGGAGATAAGGGATCTCTGCTTCTTTGACACTTGAGGAAAATTAGAGATGGGCAACCACTCAAGAGGTTCTCTTCTCTATGGGATGAAAGAAAGTTAGTGCCATGGCAAGTCTTTATGACCTGACAAAGAGTGCGATAATTGTGCTTTATTAATGATGTTTTTCTTCTGGGGGATGTTGTGTTTTAACAGTTTCATTCCTTGGCTCCAATGTACTATCGAGGTGCAGCAGCAGCTGTGATAGTTTATGATATCACCAAACAGGTAAGACCACTGTACGCTTTTCGCCTGTGTTAACTCCTCTTCTTGGGTCGGTGCTGGAATTAAACCCCTTAACTGCAGTAGTATTTTTAAGTCAGTCCCTGTTGTGGGGCTTATATGCTTCGTTAGTTTGTGTAGATTTGGATGGAGGTGTCCAACTGCCTTAAAAGAATTAAAGTTCTGCTTCTGTGTTGTTTAAACTTCAACCAGACAAAAGGTCAGAGACTGCATTTTGTCAAAGTACCTTTGGATTTCCTCTGGCTAAGGAGACAGGATAATATCCTGCAATACCCCTTCCCACCACCACCACCTCTGTTCACTGTGTGGAACTGAATTTTTACTACAAGAAGCAGATGGCTGCTTTATCAACGGAACACAAGTTCAGTTGTTTGCATATTACTGATTTTAAAACTAATTATTTTTAACTATATATAAAGTCTCTGACCTTTGTCTCAACATTATTAATTTGGAGTGAAAATTGTGTTTTGAGATCCTAAATGGCTCTGGCTCAGTTTGCAGGCAGAGTAGGCGAGGAGGTTCTAGCTGAATGCCTTTTCCACTGCTTGTAAAAGAAACCCCTGCTGATAAAGCTGAGTTAGAGGTGATGTTAATGGATGGATGGTCATAACACTTCACTAGCATTTTATTCCTTTCCTGCCAATTGAATTATTTACTACTAGGCTGAGAGGGCCGGGTTGGTTCTGCAATGCTAAGTGTAATGATCTGTGGCTGATGATGGTGGCCACTGTTGCACAGCAGTACTGTTCTCCTTTTCTCATTTCCCAAGAAAAGATGAGGAAGAGTGAATCATGCTGGATTGATGCTTATTCTTAATTCATATATCTCACAGTTGATCTTGTAATTCATTGTAAGAATAGCGTTTTGTTTTGCCAGCCTTTCTCCAAGCTTATGTGGAACAGCTCTCAGAATAAAGAGGGGAAAACGGGAGAGGAAGGTCAATGCGTTTTTCACTTTCTGATGCTTAATATTCAGTGTTGATCATTAAAGCAGAATGGATTTCATTTTTCTCCAAATGGCTGATAGTGCTCTCCCTTCAGCAATACTGAGACAGCCATTGTTGATTTAGACATAACTCTTAGGTGCATTTCTGAAGGGGAAAAAATGGTTTATTATATACCTGGCAGCTCACTTTGAGCTTCAGTAATAATTTCAACCTAGGAGCAACAGTGATTTTAATGCTATTAGTTCATTAATGTAAGGAAATAGAAAATTTACTATTAAAAGGTAGCAGCAAAAAGTGTTTGAATTCTGTACTTGGAGGGAAAAAGCCATGTGGGTATTCACCTGTCTCTTTGGTTTCATAATGATTAAATTGGGAGTTACCAGGTCACAGATTCAGAAAAGAGGAGGGGAGGGGTGCCACTGTGAAAGCTTTCCTTGGCGTTACTGAAAATATGACGGTGGTTGAGATGTTAATTCACTGGGCAGAACTTAGATAAATGAAGCTCACATTAAAAGTGCAGGAAATGCCTACTAGCCAAAAACGAAAATCTCAGAAAAACATTCAGTGCTTTTGGGGGAGGGAGGTGGGCAAAGGGGCAAGTGTCCAAGTTCAAGATTAATTTGAGAAAGTCTTATAACCTAAAGTTTGAAAAGCAGATTACATAAATACAGCAATTTTCTGGTCTTGTGATCTGTAAAATTATTATTGCATTAATACTGTCAAAGCTGTGTTCCTCTAACTTCAAAAAATAAGCAAATACATCAATGGAGCATAGGCTTTTAGCTTATTTGTTACTTCTCTGAATTAGGATTCATTTCATACTTTGAAGAAATGGGTGAAAGAACTAAAAGAGCATGGTCCTGAAAACATTGTAATGGCCATTGCTGGAAACAAATGTGATCTTTCTGATATCAGGTAAGACATTATTTTTGTTCTTGCTTTGATTGCAGTAACTATATTGTTTGCTTCCTTCAGGTAATCAATTCGTACCATCGTTACAACAGTATGTAATTTTGGTCAGCTGTTTTGAGCCTTTCCTAACAAACTTGCCAGCAGCATAATTTGAATTACATACTTTTTTTATCCCTCTCTTACTGCCCTTCCTGTGTATTTGTGCAATCTTCTGAACCATTTGGAATGGAGAAGTATTCTCTTTTTTATTGTTATTTTCCATTCATGTTAAGAGGTGGAGCATGTATTAAGCAATGAGCAAAACCAGCATGTCGAGCTAGAAGGATGGGCCTGAGGTAGAATAATATTATTCACGGGGAAACTCTGAGAACCTGTGTTTTGCCACAACTGAAACTGTCCCATAATACTGGATGTAGAAAGTGTATTTTTGTTTTTTAGAAGCATAACTTCAAATAAAACTTGCTTCACCTGCATGAAGCAAAGAACCTTCTGGGTAAAAGAAGGGACAGTTGAATCCACACTCCTGCAGAAGAGCTGCAATGATGCTGTTTGGCATAAGAGTGAAGCTAGAGTCACTCTTCTGCTTGTTAGTTCTATTTTGGATTTGCATTTATCCTTTCTGGAAACGGAAGCACATTCTGCTGTACAGGAATGATCCTGTGTGTCAGCCCATGACTGTTATTTCTTGCTTCAACTATGAGTACAGACTTAATGGCCATATTTGATGCTTTCCTTTTAGGACCTTATAGGCTCCTATGGTTGTTCAAATACATCCCCCTGTTTTATAATCATTATTTTGGTCCAAGTTCACCAGAGCCCTGAAGCACATGTATGATTTCAAGTGATGCAGTGCTTTATTTAATGAAGGCATATGCAGGGATTGCACCTGTGTGTTTGGGGTTTTTTTTTGGGGGGTTGTTTTCTTTGTTCACCCCTGCCCCCATCAGCCATGAACCAACACAAACGGTGAGTCACTGTGTGCTGTAAGACCTGAACAAGCGCTGATGCTAGAAGACTCCTGGTTTCTGTTGTGCTAAGAATCAGGGACGCGGTATATTGGCATCTTGTACGTGATGCTTGTCAACGTGGTGAAACTGAGTCCTATAAGACAAAAGAAAGGTTTTCGAAACATGAAGCAGGAAAAAAGGATGTTTATTAAAATAAACCCAAAAACCAGTTAGCACAAATAGGAGTTTTCAGTTGCCCCAAGAGTCACTTTAAATTTATTGCTTAAGTGTTCCCAGAGTACAATTGCCTGATTACATCAAGGGCAATAAGTTTGGAGATTGTGACAAATGGCAGCAATTGCAAGTGAATCCATAACCAGCCCTCCCCTTGCTTTTGGTAGCACTTACCATGGCAGCAAGCTTTTAGATGCTGTTCCACCAGTGGGAGGTTAACCTGGGGACGTGAAGAAAACCCTGCACCCCAGAAATGCTGTGGGGATAGTGGGGTTCCTTACAGAGTGACTGTGATCTTCCCACCAAGTTATTCTCAAACCCTACTAGCTTACTGATTGGTGATCATCTGTTTCTTGCTTCTGTTCAGCCAGTACAGCTTTTCCATGCACAAAATATTCTGGTGCTCACATGGTACTCTGTGAACTGATGTCTCTTCTTCTTCTTTTTTTTTTTTTGATTTTATTTATAGGGAGGGGGCTTTTTTCTCCTCATAATTATGAATAGTTTTGAGATTATTTTTTTATGGAATTATTCTTTCTGCATCCCCCAGCCATTTTTCTTTCTGAAGTCATCCAGTGATGTCCAGCTAAAGAGATTTTGGTGGAAAAATAGAGAGCAGACTGTCTTGTACGTGATATGTTTTCACAGTTCTTCCAGAAATCTGATTGTTTATGCAACACATGTAGCTGTGTGCGTTCTCTGACTGCTTTATGTCTTCAAATTTACTTCAGGAAACATGATTTTAGGTGAAATGTGTCACCGCTTTATCAGATTGTTCCCAATGAGGAGAAAATATGTATGCCTTTGGGCAGAGAGAAATTAAAAATAAGATGATGTGAGCACACAGGAGCAAGCTCCTGTGTGTATGCATTTTTGGCATCTCGCTTTGGTTTTTTAGAACTTTTGGCAGATGTTTTGCTGGTTATCAGAGAGACAGCTGCTTTTAAGACCAATGTGAATAGATGCAAAAGAGGACAAGCTGACCCGGTTCAAGTTGATTTGATTCTGTCATCTCTGTGACTGTAGGAGATATAATGTAAGGAGGAATGAACGGAAGCAATAAGAACTGCTTATCTTCCTTTGGGAAAAGACTGACACTGTTTCTCATAATCATTGACCATGTTACCCTGCTCATTTAGCATCTAAAATTTGGTTCTGAGCTGCCAAGATGGATTTGGGACACTCAGGGGACATGCTGCTTTTCTCAGTGTTGTTAATTAGGCTATCAGCAGATCTTGGCACTCTGTTGAAGTAAATTTCTTCTCCATTTTGAAGTGATTTCTACAGGGGGACAGGCAATTTTGTTTGGTATAAAGCCTCATCTTTGTAATAGTACTGTCAACTTTAGTACTGTTGAGTGGGTACTTTTAAGTAATAGTAATAGACTTTTCCTTCTGATACGTGTCCTGTCCTTCTGACAGGTTGTTAAAAAGTAGTTTCAAAGACAGGAGCTGAGATTTCAGTGTTAAAATGTTGTAAGCGTCCAAAATGCTTTTGGGGCATTATAAAAGTTGGTAGTCATAACAGTGACTAAGAAGTGTTTTACTTCCCTCAAAATGTGGCACACATTCATTCTTAAGAATTAGTGTTCACTGAAAATTGCCAGATCCTTGGTTAAGATCAGCAGAATTTCATGCTCAGATCTTTCCTCTCTGATCCAAAATATTTCTTTATTCAGTAATTATTCAGAAAATTCTCAAGGGAGATTGAATCAATAGAATGATTTGGAAAGGATAATGTGTTCAAACTTAAACAGGGGAGATTTAGATGAGATACAAGGAAGAAGTTCTTTACCATGACAGTGGTGAGGCACTGGAACAGGTTGCCCAGAGAAGCTGTGGCTGTTCCATCCCTGGCAGTGTTCAAGGCCAGGTTGGACAAGGCCTTGGGCAACATGGTTTAGTGTGAGGTGTCCCTGCGCATGGCAGGGGATTGGAACTAGATGGTCTGAAGGTCCTTTCCAACCCAAACCATTCTATAATTATATGAAATAATTTGCATCTTTCAGAATAGGTAATCCTCTAACTTTCCCAGTAGCCGTGGAATAACACAGTCTCTGCACTCCACTGATGGTTCTTGCTTTCTTCTCTCTTCACCCTATCTTGCATGTGTTTGTCTCTAGGCTTAGAGTTCAAGCATTTATGCTTTTCCTTTTGACAAGGTAGTGTCTTAGCAATGTTGACATCCAAATTATGTTAAGTCTACTTGATGTATGCAACCTTCTTGGTGCTGGCAGCACTGGATGGCAGTTGCTTATTGCCCACGTGCTATTGATTCTTATAGGCCTCCTTTAGAAATGTCATCAGAGGAGGCTAAGAAGTTTTGTGATACTTCCTTGGGATATGGTCACTTGCTGCTGTTGACCCATTTCCTCAATTCCTGAAGTTTGCTTTCTAATCTAAATTACAGCAAGTTGACAGTCTTCATTACATAACCTTATGCTCTCACATCTCATCCTTTACTGTTGTTTAAATATTATGTTACATAGTTATGTTCCTTTTTTCCTATCTCCAGGGCCACACGCAGATGGTGGTACCATTCATAATAAAGGCTAAAGTGCCATTTTAGAACTATTAAGGGGAATGCTGCTTTCCCCGTGTCTTTGCAATAGCAAGTCATGGAAAGAAGCTCTGAATCCAGATGCTGGATTTGCAGGCTAATTTTTTGAAAACTATTAGTAATAAATCAGGCAATTATTCTGCCTCTCTGCACATTTCCCATGAGCAGCAGACCTGATTAATTTAAAATACATGCCTTCAGAAACTAATTGTTGAACTTGCGTTGCTGTGCTCCCACCTAGATACCTTCTGTTAAAGCCCAAGGCAGTCATACTAGGAGGAAGTTGTACTACCAGCTTTTGACATACGAAGTGATGGCTACAGAATGAGGATGTTCTACCAGTGATTTTAAGATGGGGTCACTTTGGTGATATGGCACAGAATGGTGGCCACCCCCCAGTGAATCTGGTGCTCCCAGATTGTTCTTGCCAGTGTGCTCAACCAGTGGCTTTTGTATTTCTTCCAGAATTTCTCGTTTTCTTGCTGCTTGCACATACTTAGGCACACGTTCTTCCAAAATGGTCATACTCTATCTTGTTTAAAACACTTGGTGTGGATGGTGCTGGTTGCTGCCTGGATCAGCAGTTCTGTGTCTTTTCTCTTGTGTTTTAATGCTTTTCTTATCAGGGTCAAGTTAAAAAAAAAAAAAAAACAAAAAAAAAAACCCAAATTGGGTCATCATTTAAAGTATCGTGTTTTCAAGGCATAGATTCAGCAGCAAGACCAAGAAAACTGTAGCTCAGTCATTAGTGAAATGTTGATATTTGGATACAATGATGCCGTAAAAAGATGATAGTACTGCTTTTGCAGGGAAGGACATCCTGATGCTTTCCTGGTTATGCTGTGTTTGATTATTTTTTGAAAACTTGTTGTGGTTTTGTTTGGTTTTTTTTTTGGTAGGGAGGTTCCTATGAAGGATGCCAAAGAATATGCAGAATCTATAGGAGCAATTGTTGTTGAAACCAGCGCGAAGAATGCTGTTAACATTGAGGAACTTTTTCAAGGAATAAGTAAGTAAATGCTCCATTTATTTATTTGCTTGTGATTGCTTGGAGGCCTTTTGAAAAATAGCTGTCTGTTTTGAATCTAAAAGCTTCTTTCCCAACGACATCAAGAAATCCACTGGGCGAGTAGTATGGCTGCATTTTATGCTGATGTAAACTAAGAATGACATTGAATACACCAGAGCAAAGCGTAGTAAATAGCAGATATGGTTTAAGTCTATTCCTTCTAAATCTGTATATAAATCCTGACCTGGGTCACATCATCTGTTTCAGACCAAGCCTGATACTGTTGATCTTATCATTGTGTTGATAAAAACTTAAATGTTGAGAAACGCGCCTGGAGGACTGTGATAAGTATAAAACAGTTGTTGCAGTGGAATCTGTTTAGAAATAAAGTTTTCTCTCCAGGTCTTTTAGACAAGGTACGAGACTGACATTCCTCATGAGGAGAAGAAAAAACATCTTGTTCAGTTTGCCTTCTAGGGGTTCCACTTTTGGTCTCTGGCTGCAAGAGGGAAGGACCTCACAGGCTGGAAAAGACCTTAGGAGACCTTCAGTCTAACCTCCCACTCAAAGCAGACTTGATAGTGAATCCAGACCAGGTGGTTTGGGCCATTGTCTGGCTCGGCCTGAGAGCAGAGGTTCCACAACCTCTCTGCATGGCAGATTCCAGTGTTTAAATAGTCCTCACAGTGGCATCTTGCCAGTGTATCAAGTCCAAACCTCTCCTGATTCAATTCATGGCCACCATCACTCATTGTCCTAGATGCACTTCAGTAAAGAGCCTGAATCTGTCTTCTTAGCAGTCCTCCCCATAGATACTGAGAGGCAGCTCTACAGTCCCCCAAAGCCATCTTGTCTCCAGCCTGAACTGCAGCCAGGCCCTGTTTCCTCAGCCTCTCCTTACAGGGCAAGTGCTCCAGCCCTGTGACTGTCTTGCTGGCCCCCCTCTGAAGCTGTGCCAGTTTGTCCACGTTTTACTTGTATCATGGGGCCGCAAACCAGATGCATTACCCAGCTTTGCGTTAGACCATATCTGGAAGTGGATAACCACACCACCTGATTTACTGGCTTGGCTCTTGTTGGTATGACTTAGGATGCTGCTGGCCATCTTTGCTGCCAGGGCACTGCTGGCTCATGCTCAGATTGCTGCCCTCAGGTCCTTTTTGGCAGTTGCTTCCTGGGCAGTCAGCCCCCAGCCTGTCTCGTAGCCAGGGGCTCTTCCTTCCCACAAGCAGAGCTTGTCATTTGTCCTTTCTGAACCACGTAAAGGCTCCTGTTGGTGCGTTCTTCCCTCCAGCCTAAGGCGCTCTGAACAGCAGCCCTGCCCTCAAGGGTATTGAACTGTGCTTCTGAGTTGGGTATCATCTGAGGGTTGAAGTGGGTGCATATATTCTCCTCTTTCAGGCCACTGATAAAAGGAGTTAAGCATGGATTCCACTTCCAACTGGCCTACAGGTAGATACATAGTGTTAACCACTGGCCTTTAAGTTTGATGATTCAGCCAGTTTTCACACAGCTAACAGTCTTCCTGTCTAGACTATAATATCCCAACTTGGATATACCAGGATGCTGTAAGAAGAAGTATGGAAAGCCTTGCTAAACTCAACGTAGAAAACATCCAGTGCTCTCCCTCAATCACAGATCCAGTCATACTCTTACTTAGGGCAACTGTTTTTATTGGACATGGATTACCTTTGGAAGTCTATGCTGACCGGTTCCAGTCACCTTCTTCACCTTCATGTACTCGGAAGCAGTTTCTTAGAGGATTTGCTGCATGATTTTCCCAGGAAGCCACATGAGGTTAACTAGGCTGTAAATCCATGGCTTGTTACTGCCCTTTTTGAAGACAGATATAACATTCACTTTTCTTCAGTTATAGGGAAACTCCCTTACTCTCCACAACCTTTCAGAAATGATAGGAATGATAAAGACATTGCAGTGACATTGGTTTGCTTCCTCTGGATCCTCAGGCTTGTAAGGATTGAGATTTTTTAAGAGCTCCATGACTCCTCTTCCACTACTGGTGGTTCCTCCTCTCCATGAATCCTGCAGAGGCCTAGGAGACAGCACATCCAGAAACTCAACGTTGTTTCCCTAAAGCCTCTCTTAAAGGTTTATTTCATTTCCCATGTTCACAGTCAGCTCGTATTATCTACTCCACTTTGCCTGAGACAGGATCTGTTCAAATGTTTGCTTCGCTTGTGTGGGATGTATTTGAAGCAGTAGATGAGAACCGATATTCCTAGAGTACCCTACCTTTCTTTTACATCCTTTAAAAAGGAGTGTGTAACATGGCTGCCTGGAGGAACTGGTTCTTCCGTGTGGTAGTTTGTCTGCATCTGATGGTTGTGAATGTTCCCGCAGAGGAACTCATTCTTGCCACGCAATTAGTTAATTAGTTTCTGCCTTTGATAGGCAGTGCTGCAGCTGGCAGCGTACACTGTCCCTAATAATGGATATAATAGACGAGGAGAATCAGCTAAATTAAGTTTAGTATGAACTAGATACCCAAGCAAGTGCACTTAATTCCACAGGCAATTATTTCTATATATAGAAGTATTTGGTCTCAGCGGATGTACTCATCACCTTATCAAGTACTCAGTGGAGAGAAAGGAGAGAATTGGTAGTGTATGTTTATGGAAATACAGTGGAAACCTGCTTAACTGTCAGGCAAATGAGTTAGTATGGTTGTGACTGGACAGAGGATATGGTTAACTTTCTGATGTTCCATTCCACTTCAGTGCAATTTCAAAAAAATGGCCCAAGTTGGTGGCAGCGTTCCTGCCTTCTCAAGTCTATGAAGTCCCTCTGTGGCCAGGTCTCCTACCCCGTTGAACAATTTTGTTTGTGTGGGGCCCTAGAAGTCATGCTGCAGCTTTATTTTTGCTTTTACACTGCCCTAGAGTACATGCCCTTCTCCTTGTGCTGCTGTAGAAGGGCATCGTGCTTCCCAGTCAGCTTCAGCTTCAAGCTCCCCAGTCTCTGAATAGAGTCAGCAACTTACATTTACCTTGGATCTTGTAGGTAGGCTGTACATGTAGTCTATTTTACAGCCTGGATTTTAGAAGGATATTCCAACGTGCATGGACAATTTCTCTATTAAAAACCTTCTAGAAATTGACATCCCAAACAGAAAGGGTAAGACTGCATTTTAATTTAGCTAAAAAATTTACCTCCTGCTTGCTTATGCTTTTCTTTTCCCTGGGGCATTTGAACATACTAATTTTCCTTCCTAAAGTGTCTTACAACTGTCTGTTTTTCAGAGAAAATGTTGTGAACAGAGTGACATAATATAATGGAAAAAACTTACTCAACGTAATGATATAAAGAAGGCAGAAAATAAAAGGGGAACTGGGATGTTTTGCTGACGATCAGATAAATCTTGGAAAAATTATAAAGATTATAGAGAGATCACTTAATTTCTGGGGTTATTATAGTACCCTATTTTTGAAAGATTTTTTTATGATAAGTTTCTCTCAGGATTTTAGGGATGTCTAAATCACAGTCTCAACACAAGTCCGCTGTCCTTAACTCTTCTCAAGAAAATACAGGATGTGAAAGTAAAAGTTTCTGATTTAAGATGGGGCCAATCTGTGAGGAGAAGGACTCTGCAGTCCGTGTACTCAGGTGGATAAGGCTGAGGAAGAAGGCTAAGTGCAAGAGTCAGCAAAGTTGGTGTTCTCTGTGCTGGAGAATTTTCTCTGAGCTGCATAGTAGGATGCAGCTCCCGGCTGTCTCTGGGACCCCTGTGATTTCAGATAGCAAGCCACTACACTTACTCTGCTTACATTTAGCAGCGCCTGACTGAAGGCTGGCTGTGTTTGTGAAACATCACATGGCTGGTTTGACTTCCCTGTAAACAAGAAAAGAATACTTTTAGTACACTTGTATACTCCCCACTTGATCTAAATTTTTCCCAGTGTCTTTCTTGAAAGGTTTTTGACATAAAAAGGGCTTTACTATAATGTTTTTTCATGTGTTCCAGTAATTCTCTTTTAGTAGCTGAGTGTCTACAGGACCAAATGTTACTAATTTTTTATTCCCAGCCTTAGAAGTATCATACACACAGCAGCTCCTTGTCGCTGGTTTGTACTTCAGCAGCAGCAAAAATGCTGGGAATGTATTTATCCAATAGCATTATGATACAGTATAAAGCTGTGCCTGTGCAGGGGATCATACTGTTTCTGTGTTGCCCCTTCTTGGTTGTGGGGCTGTGGTCTGCTGACTACTCTTGTGTTTGGGAAGGCAACTTACCCATTATAACTGGCTGGTTTTCCATGACTAAACAAGCTGTCCCAAGTGTACTGTCATTTAGTGGCAATTACACCCTTGCAGTTTTCAGACACCCATTCATTTAAGAACTCAAATAAGCCTTAGTTACCTTACTGAAGTCTAATACACACCCAGCTGCTTCTCTTTAGCCAGGGTGTATTGCCTGTTACCGTAGCATAAAGATGCCCCAGATATGAAAGAGAAGATCACATAAAAGCCATCCTCTGTAAATGATAGAGCCAAGGCTGCACCTCCCAGGTTAACACCAGTCTGTGCCAGTAGGTCCAGAGGTAAACAGGCGGTGGGATGAGTGAACTGCTGAAGAACACCTAACCCAAGTGAAATGTGAAATAAACTTACGCTTAAACAAAAAGAAGTAAATGACAGGCATGCGTTATTTTTTTGGAGTCTGAATACGTTGAAGATTGTTGTTCTACCAAAGGGGCCACAATTGAAGGATTTCAGCATCTTTTGTCAAGGGTGAGAGGGAAGTGAGGAGTAAGATTATCAGAATCGCTCCATGGAAAGTGTGTAAAGAGTTGTTAGCGTGCTCTGTCTTACCAATGCTAGTACTATGAGAAGGAGAGACAGGATGATGTTTAAAATCCAGATAAGAATGCTCTTTGTAGATGAGGCTTCCTAATTAGAGCAGAGAGTTTCTGTCTCGGGATATATCCTTTCATGTGGTAAATGCTCAGTTAATAAATGTATGAAGCTATTGATTTTCTGAT